AAATAAAAACAGGCAGACAATATTTAAACAAACATAGCTCTGTTTCAATAAAACTTTATGTATAGAGTACAAATACAAGCAAACAATGTATTTGTACTTGCCACCTACAAAACAAGGAGCAGACCAGCAGACTGTAGCTTGCTGACCTTTAAAAACAGGGACCTTATTCTCATCTGAGAATCTGCTTCTTCAAAAGCCTGCTCTAGTCATTGCTCCCACTCTTTTCCTTAGAAATACTGTAGCACTTAGAGATTGTTGGTAGGTTTATTTCCCTACTCAAGCTTAGGCCAATTCTAAGCTGCAAACCTAGAAAACCAATACCTCTCTGTCCAGTGTTGCTTTAATACTTAAACTTTTTCTGATAGTAGCTCACCTACTGAATCTGAATGGGGACGGTGGGAGAGTAAAAAGAGAAAAGCTAAATCGTTGAGCATCAGGATTCAAGAATTAAAGTCTGTAAGAAAATAAATAATACCCTTTCTGTGACCAGAATCAAGTATCTGGGCTGCCTCTCACTGGGTACTAATATTGGAGAGATGAGTGTTGGCAGAAAGAAATCAGGTTTATTCAAGGCCAGCCCTGAGGAAACCAGAAGGCCTAGGTCCTCAAGGTTGTATCTTTCTTGGTTTCTGGGCACCAGGGGGTTTTGAGGGAGGGAAGGAAGCAGTGAGGCTGCAGTCTGGACAGTCCTCTTCATTGAGGGAGTTGGCTAACATCTAGGTAGAGCTTCTCTTTAGCCAAAGGATTAGGGACAAGTAGAAGGGCAAAAGGGAAGAGGAAGCCCCTCCACATTTCCTCCTAGACTTCATGGTACGAATAGTAGGGATTTGTTTTGAAATAAATAAGTTAATAATAACCTCCCCCAGAGGAGCCAGTACCCACGTAAAATTGAGTTCAATTCCAAGTACCCCTGGTTCTTGATTAAACCTCCCCTTCGCCAGATCAAGGCTGGAAGCTGGGGCCCAGCTGGCTTCAGTGATGGTCATAGTCTGTGTTTGCCTCCTGGACAGGTTACCTGGCTTTGGTGATTGCAGCCTGTGTGCTGAATTTTCAGAGAGCGCTTCCTCTTTTTGGGATCACCGTGGCTGCCATCTTCTTCATTGTCTGGGATCACTTGATGGCCAAATATGAACATCGAATTGATGAGATCATATCCCCAGGCAAAATGCTGCTGAACAGCCACTGGTTCTGGCTGAAGTGGTAAATGCAATTGCTTCTCTTATTGCAATTAAGAGAGATATTATTTTTTTCCAACAGAATTCCAAAAATTTGTTCTAAAATTGCTTCCTCATTTATGGGATATTGAAGCTAGAAACAAACCTTGGGAGCAATCCATTATGATGCCTTCATTTTACAAATAGGAAATCAAGGCCTAGATGAGATGATGACTCATTTGAAATGTGTTCAAGCATCCCTACAATCAGTAGCCTTAATTTCAAGTTATACTGAATGATAAAATGTGGTCCAAAAAAACATTAATTTAATAACCTTCCAAGTACTGCATTAGAGAGACACCTACATATCAAAAAGTGGTTAAGAGTATAAGATAGTACAGGTTTTACTCATTGCACCAATAGTGTTAGGTCTTCCTAGCACTTTTCAATAGCATGGCCTCAGGGTCAATTAGTAGGATCTGTCCTGGCATGGGTCAGGGAACAGCAACATGAAATCTAATCTCAGTACCTGTTTAAAGACTTTATTCATAAATACAAAATGAAAAATATAGGTTTTTGTTTGTTTTGTTTGCAGTATTGGGAATCAACCAAGTCTAGTACATAATAGGCATGTACTCTTTCACTGAGCTACACCCCTGGCCAACACCATTTTCTTATGCAAGTTATTTTTTTTGGGGGGGGGGGTGTATGTTTGTTTGCTTGTTTGCTTTTGTGGCACTAGAGATGGAACCCACGGCTTTGTACACACTGAGCTATGGCCCTAGCCCCACAAGTTATACATATTCCTAATACAACTTATTTATCTTATTTACAAAATATATTCAATCATGATTTTTTTTTTAGTTCCTCTATGGTTGAACATTTATTTTATTTACAATTTTTTGCTTTTTACCTTTTTTTTTTTTTTTTTTTTTTTTTTTTTTTGCAGTACTGGGGATTGAACCCAGGGGGTGCTCTGGTGCTCTTCCACAGAGTTCCATCTACAGCCCATTTAATTTTTTAATATTTTGATAATAGCTCACCTACTGAATCTACCAGAGTAGATTGCCAAGTAGTTGCCAAGCCTTAATGATCAAACTTGTGATCCTTCTGCCTCAGCCTCTGAGTCACTGGGATTATAGGCATGCACTACTACATCCAGAAATTTTTTGCTACTGTAAATGTTATGATAAGCGTAAACCTTTCTTTTTTAATCTATTTTTTGTCTAACCAACATATTAAAATCATGACCCACAGATTGTAACCAAAATACAACAATTTTTTCATCCATCATTCTTTCCATTTTATTCAATGGGAACTATCTATCCCATATTTTGTAATGCCAAAACCTCACGCCCCTTCTGCCCACTCTTAGTTAATAATCCAATGGTTACAGAAGTATTTTTTTAATATTTATTCTTTAGTTGTAGTTGGACACAATACCTTTTTTTTCTTTACTTATTTTTATGTGGTTCTGAGGATTGAACCCAGGGCCTTGCACATATGAGGCGAGCGCTCTACTGCTGAGCCACAATCCCAACCCCAGAAGTATTTTTAATATGAAGCTGTCCCAGCCCATACAATAATGAAAACTAGGAACGCAGCCAAGATTCTATCTTACCATCCCAGATTTGGCTTGTGTTTCTCTTTTCTCCTTGTTTTCTGCTTCTCTACCAACCTCAAATCTAGGGATCAGGCCAGGACAGTTCCAACTCAGGGAGGTGGCTTCCTGCCACCTCCTTGGAGGAAGGGCCTTATGAATTGCCAAAGCCCACTCTCCTCTAGGACGCACTTCCTTCAGTGACCACTATAGGCTTTTCCTTCAACTTTTCTTTAGAGGATCTCCTCTCCTTCCAGGTGGCCCTACTGGGTTGTTCCCAGGACCTCTCTCTCCATAGAGACCCCCCAAGGATTCTAACAAGAAACTTCATACATCCTTGGCCTAATAAATCAGGATTGTGCAGTCCCAACATAGCAAACAGCCTTTCTGGTTCTGCCATCAAAGCAGTGAATCAGCCTTGTCATGCCCATTAGACTCCCCAGGGAGTCAGAACCCAGCCTAACATCCAATTTAGCTCTGTTGAGGCCCCCCCCCCCCCCCCAGCTGCAGAGGACACCTTTCAAATTCTCCATTAGAGGGACAAAGCTAACATCTTACCTATCCCCAAAGACAAGGTAGAGAGAATCCAGATAGCTATTTTAAAGAAATAGCCAGACCTTCCTCTCCAAATGTCCTTTCTTCTCTCTGATCCCTTTGTGTATCTGTGAGCTGGTAAAGGGCCTGAGTTGCAGAATGAGGGGGACACATTGTTTAATTTATGGGTTATTTGCCATTTTTAGCCACAACCAAAAAGAGTCTGTTACAATATGTGAAAGTGTAGCTTCCTGCTGCCGGGGCATGTTACTCTTGTCTGCATTTTTAAATTTGTCAGTTTAAGCCTCAAGTTAGCACTACAAATGATCCCAATGCCTCCCTTTTGTTTGCTTAGGGTGATTTGGAGTTTATTGATCCTAGCGATCATCTTCTGGCTGATCTTCGACACCGCCAAATTGGGCCAACAGCAGCTGGTGTCCTTTGGTGGACTCATAATGTACATTATCCTGTTGTTTATATTTTCCAAGTACCCAACCAGAGTAAGTATGAAATTTGTTGGACTTTTTGTTTTGTTTTGTTTTCCCTACCCAGGTGAAAAATATGATCAAAATAATGATCATAAAAGAATTTAACTATTCAATATTTTTCTTAATTTTCTGTAATTTAAGTGGTTAAGTTGCCCTTCTTCTAGAAATTTCAAAGTACTGTCTATTACTATCTCATTCCATTCTCAGTAATTTCCAGTTACACAACCAGTGGGACATTCTCTCCTTGTCAAATCCTATTTCTACTCATGTACACCCTGCCTCTATCCAACATACATACGGAGAAAATCACATTCATTTTGATCTCAGTTTTCCAAGACTACAAATTACTTAATAGTTTGCACTTGATCCTGCACTTAATCAAATTCTATTTGCAATTCAGGCTTTCTACTCCAAAAAAAAAAAAAAAATTGTCCTTATACTGTTTTTCCCCCAATTGAATCCAATCCTCATCCTTGTCTGTCAACCTGTAACTCATGAAATGGGCAAGAATTCTGAGACGGGCTGGGGATATGGCTCAAGCAGTAGCACGCTCGCCTGACATGTGTGCGGCCCGGGTTCGATCCTCAGCACCACATACAAACAAAGATGTTGTGTCCGCCGAAAATCAAAAAATAAATATTAAAAAAAAAAAAAGAATTCTGAGACCTAGAAGCTCTCACATATGAATCATGATGGCAAGCCCTGGAAGAATTTTCTGACTAAAAGATTGATCCGAGGAAAAAGCATTAATCTGAGGCCAAGTTCACCTGATATGATCCAAATCACTTGCCCTGTTTGGGTAAGCATCTCCACTGACTGGGCCTTTGCTCCCATAGATCTTTTCAGACCTCATTTCCCCACCAAAAAATGAAAACAGATGATTGCCATTTCTCCTGCACATCCTACATCTGCATTACAGGTCATTGGTTCATTTTATAGCGAAATAAGAGCCCCTCAATAGGGTAGAATTTCATTTAATTCACTTATAAAATTGTCAGATCAACAAGCCTCAGACATACTGAGAAATCATGTTCTGCCTTTCAATTTTCCAGGCAGGAGAAGTAATTATATTTGTCTAATACTTACAGTAAGACTAGAACAGCCAGGTCCTTCCTCCTTTAATGACACTTCTTAGACTACTCTTTGTGTCTAAGTTACTTATCAGAACTTAGTGGTTACTCACCAGCACTAAAGACTTGAAACCCAGGTTTAAGGAGAGGAAATGCAATCTTAAGCTTTTGAAGCTATGTTTCTATCAAAAGACCCTCTGCTCATGGCTCCTCAGGCCTCCCAAAGAAGAAATCAGTGATTCTTTTGATGTTTATGCTAAAGTCAGCATTAACTTTCTAATAAGATAATATCTCTGTCATTCTGCATAGGTTTACTGGAGACTTGTCTTTTGGGGAATTGGGTTACAATTTCTTCTTGGACTGTTAATTCTAAGGACTAATCCTGGATTTATTGCTTTCAATTGGTTGGGCACACAAGTTCAGGTAAGTGTTTCAAAAGAATACTTTACATTTAAGATGCTTTTAACATTTGGATGTAATCATTGAGGCATCTCAGAAATAGGTTTATAAGTCTGTAATATTTGACCCAGATTTTAATTCCATAGTGTGAATCAGACAAATACCTGTTTGTGTGGAATACATTAATCTGTCTAGTTAATTATGATTACTGCTGTCCTTACCTATATTCTCTACTGCATCCATCCCCTATCCCTGTTCCTCCCTCACCTTGCCCATAGGGATGTCACCCTTATAAGCTGGTTTCTAAACAGAGAAATGAGCTTCCTTTGCATCCAGTGGTAACAAGTGGCACCTGTGTACTATCTCTGGCTTGCTAGAGCAAATTACCACACTCAGCTTATTCTTTAGCATCCTAGAGTCAGACTTAATGTCAGACATGACAGAAAATCTTTATGCAGACATAATTTAAAAATACAGCTCTATGCCATTCATTGGACATGGTTCTCATCCTCTGCAGAGCCTAGTGCTACGATGGCTTGTAACGACCATTTCAGTGGTTTTAATGAT